AATATTTTTAATGTAGTTTTTAAACTCAGTGGATATCTTCTTTCTTATTGAAATTATGTATATTTTACGGGCATATAAAATATTTGAGTAAATGTACTGTGATGCCACAGTCATGATACCAGTCTCCTTAAACTTTTCTCTGAGAGAAACCCGAGAGCCTAGACGGAACACAGAACGAATTGCTCGTTTTTGCAATACAAATATGGTTTGAATATCTGCCGCTTTACATCACATGAGAATCCCGTAGGACATTATACTATGGAAGTAACTAAAGTAAACTAGTCTAGCAGTACTAACATCGGTAAGCTCACGTACTCTGCGGACTCCGTGTGCAGCGGAGTTTATTCTGCTGGCCAGGAAAGATATATGTGGAAACCATTGAAGTTTACTATTAAGGTCACTTCCAAGAAGACTGCTTTATTAACAAGGTCTAACTTTTCTCCGTTTATTTGTATGCTTGGGCTAGTCGATTTTACGTTAGGTAATTAAAATTTAACACATTTTGTCTTTTTGGCGTTAAGCAATAAATTGTTAGAATTATACCAATAAACTACCTTAGAGAGGGTATCATTAATATGGTCATAGTTAATGTCATGTCTGTCTGTTTTAAAAATCAAGGATCTGTCGTCAGCAAACAATACTATTCGCAATGGTCCTTAACAAAGAATGGCAGATCATTGATATAAATCAGAAATAAAAAAGGTCCAAGTATTGAGCCCTGTGGAACACTAATTTTTACCGGAGAACCCATAGAAGTCACTCCATTTATGTCTACTTTCTGAATTTTACCGTTGAGATATGACGAGACAAGTTTCGACGCCTTGCCATTTACGCCGTAATATTCCAACTTCCTAATAAGAATAATATGGTCAACGCAATCAAATGCCTTTGAGAGGTCACAGAAAACACCAATAGCCTTCTGGGACCTTTCCCAAGCATCAAAGATGTGTTTTAGTCACGCTACCCCCGCATCGCTAGTTATCTACCACTAGGAAACCCGTATTGTTCACTATGAAAAATATGATTCCTACCGAAATAGCCCGTTCGAAACAATTACTGCCAAATAAGCAATACTTGACCATATGAAAAGACGCGTGATGCGAATTAAGCTTCATACTTGATACTTGTCTTTTAATTTTGTCGAATATCACTTATTTGACAGTAATTGTTTCGGACGGATTTCGGACAGAGATCGAGAGTAGACCCCTAGGACAGTAATTGAGTCAGCAGAACTAAATCATAAAATGACGTTGAAATCAATTACACCGTACTAAGAACAGAAGCGTAATAAGAGCAAAGTCACAACGCATCATACGCTCTTATTACGATTGTGATAACAATTAAGGTAGAAAACAAATATTTCAAGCTCTAACTGGTATAAAACAATGATATTAACATGAATGCTGGAACAATAGGGTTTACTTAGAGCGCCACCTGTGTAAGCTATTGCGTGTAGTTGTAAATGGAAAAGATACTATCATCGTGTGAACAGGTGAATAAATAATGCTATATGAAACTTGGACGCAATTCCCAAATTGTTTCTATTTTGTGTATAGCATTTATAAGAGCGGGAGTAGGTCAGTGGAAGAATGGTTACTTTTCAATTGAGAGAACTTTTAAATTATGTACATTTGTGAATATTTAATAGAAACGCCTCTCGCTAACGGCAAAGGAAAACATGATAAAACGAACACGAAACGTGAAAACGTGTGTCGCGGGGCAGACTATGACCTTATATCTTCTCCTTAGTGGAACGTGGAATTGGTTGATGATGACTTATGTATACAATACAAGAAACGTTTAGACAACATTGCGGTTTATGAAGATGCTAATTGTTGTCATCTTACAGTTAAGTGACAAAGACTAATAGAAGAATTTAAATCACTTTGACTAAAGAATTAAGGGTAAAAGTAACATTGTAAATTGAACTGCACGTACCCAAGCAAAAGGTGTCGGGTCACCTACACGTATGATAGATTTTAAAATTTTGTTGTGTGTGTTTGTTTGTCATGTATCGGAGTTAACAATCACAGTTTAATAACGTGACGAAATTTACCTTTGACGCTTTAAATTAACTTGTGTGTTGACTTTCGATACAGTATGCTCATTAAATGTTTCTGTGGATGACAAAAGAATAACGTTACGTTCAAATGTCACCTTTGTCACGAATGTATATAATGGAGATAATGAAGAAGAAAGATTTAGTTTATTCCACTATGATAATTATATTTGAACCATTTTAAACTACAGAATACAACTTTTTAGGCTCCTGGGCCACTGCCGTTCGTTTCCCAAATTGGTCCGGTAATTGATCCCGGCACCTGCTCATCAAGCGCCCGCAGTGCTGGCCGCGGGGCCACAGAGGTCCTCAAATTTGTATTATCACATTATATAAACAACCACCTACATTATTACTAGCGTATATTTCTACTCGGTACGGTTACTGTCTAGAACTAGGAACATTTAGGCAGATAATCATCGTTATTGTTTGTTATGTTTATATTAATAGCCTGGTTATTATTTCTATAGTTGACACTTTGTTTCGCATCTTGTATCATATTATAATCAGAGTAATTATATTGAAAGAAAGCCATAGCATAATTTTATCATATTTACGCATACTCAAGTTATTATTTAAACTGATAACTCGAATCAAAGGTTACACTCTTAATAACATTTGATAAACTGCTTTAAATGGATGATACGTTGCGGTCATGTAGGTCCTTATTTACATGTTTACAGAACTCAGTCGGGCCTTCGATTTGACCTCTTTATCGTAAATGATTTATATAAACATTTTTCTATGTGAGAATATCATGTTTATCGTGTAAAATGCTCCAATTAAAGTTTTCTTGAACCTGTCTAGTTGAAAGGCTATGACTTTAATATTTAACTTACGTACATTTGTCAATGCATCAAATGGCATCATTGCTGGACGTGGACAAATGCGGATCTCCTGAGAGGAGGCCCGTGTCCAGCAGTGGGACGTATATGGGTTGACGATGATAATGATGATGATAATCAAAGTATAAACTTAACCGATTAAGTTTTACATTGCTTTCATTTGTGTTATTCTGCTACTATTTATTATCATTATAAATAAGCATATTATTAGCCTTAGATAAGATTGGCTACTTCTTATCTTTAAATGTCAATGAGACATGATGAATTAAATCTCTTATCATGAATTATATCTTTTTGATAATTTTTTTATAATATAAATAACTTTCCTGTTACATACCCTCTTTGCAATGAAGTATTTTCATAGCTAGGCGTTCGACTTAACCTCACTATCTTATCAATTTAATAAAGGAGTGATCGAGCTGAGTAAACGTTTCAGTTATAGGTATGTTTACCAGATAAAAGTTCAAGTATCTCTTACCAAGCGTTTTATTTGTATAAAAGTGATCAACTGTGAGTGAGCAACTGCTATTTAACAATAGTGTTCCACAGGGTCCACGCCTGATACTCATATAAATAAGAATTAATTATTAAGTAAATATAATATTTTTAGGGTTTAAATTAGAGTTATCATAACCACGGCATCGCAAGAAGAGGTTAAAACTCCGCCGAATAAGAGAATTGATAGTCTTCAACCTTAATTACGTAATGTAGATGATCTCATTTCACTACAAGAGATTAATGCTGTCTGTTGATATCGTTTGAACCTTCGGTCCGGGAGCTACCGTGGTAAAGGTCAGGGGACAGATAACCCTAGGTTCACGTGCGACTGACCACGTGGTCTCGCGAATTGATGTGGAAATTCTAGTAAATAACGATTTTTAGCTTTAGATACATAAGACTCTTTAATTAGATTCAGTCACATGTTGACAGATTGTAAAGTATAATATATGTATATGATGAACTGATATAGTTTCCTAACTAATATTTCACTTACGCACTTGTCAACTTTTGTCTCAAGATGTCGGACGTAGTAGCAATGCTCCAGAAATCTTTGCGATTTAAAGCTCTGAGTGGCACTGTAACTACGTTTTATGGACAGACGCACGACTTGTTCGTCACTTCCCTTGATATTATAATAAAAGCTATATTGAAACCTTAATGCTTAATTGTTTAATAGATTTATGTAGTGGTATCTATTGTCAGTTTTTAAAAACGTATTTTTATTTTAAAATACACTGTTACTATTTGTATTTTACTGTAACACGCTTAAGGAACTATAAGTGAACTTACTATCTTTTTTTTTCGTATAAACACTCGTAACGTTATCTTTTCATGCTAAGGTATTACCCTATTTACACGGATTATCAGCGTCTTTAGATTGTGCGAGATTAGCAAAAGTGGAGTGGTTATTTATCTTCGTAATCTTTAATTTATGAGAATTGTAAATATGTTATTGATAAATTTTTATGCTAAAATTTGTGTTACGTTCTGGTCATCATTTGTATAAGTATAAAATTATATTCTAAAAGAGTTGTCACAATATTTTGTACGAATAAGATACATTTAAGAGCTGAGTCTCAGTCCTTCTCATCATTCAGAGCCCGTTTCTATTTTTCCGTTCCCAGAATCCCGTTTTTATTTTTGCATTATTTGTGGTGTTGTTCTTAAATATGTTAGATTTTTAATTGTCGTTTTGGCTGGTATGTGTTTGTTAACTTTTAGGGAGTTAAGACCTCCCCGCGCGTTACGGACTGTTTCAGAATTTTAGCGTGGTGGTCCATAGTCATCTGTATTATTATAAATTTGTATTTTCTTTTCTTTATTGTGTTGCATATAAAATATACTAATTTAGATGTTCGTAACTAAATTCAATTAGCCTCCAAATTGTCAGATGAACGTCGTTTAATTCCATGTGTAGCTTCTTCAATAACGGCAGTTCATTTAATTTTATTATTGTAAAGTTCAAGACAGTATCACTTTTGGTATGAATTTTACTAATAATAAACCTTGCGGTCTTCTGGAATATCTTCGAAATACTTTTAATGGTCTTCTATTTTTTCTTCTGTGTATTAAGTGAAATTTGTTAATTGTTGCAGATGCGCGGCGTTCCCGCGAACGAGCGCGTCTACAACCTCCGCACACGGCCGCCTTCACTCCTACCACCTTCCCCCCTCTCCTTAGCCTCCTCCGGTGACAAATCTTCATCTTCCGCCCAACACCACTCTCCTTCCTTAGAACGACCTTCTTCACATCCCGCACCGCCCACAGCAAGCTTTGTGTGTTACGTGTGTGGTGTCAGCGCAGCGTCAAGTCAGCTCCGATTGGTCTACTGCTGCGCCAATCCGGAGAGAGAACCGTATTATCCTTTTATAACTACATTGAAACCACATCCAGACGCCAGTCCTATAAGTCCACAAGGTGAGTGTTGTTATATTTTGTGTACAGAGATCTAGTAGGCAACTGGTCTTTTAATGTTTGCCGACTTTTGATAGAAGACAAAAGTCTAATAAACAAAATTTATATAGCGATGCTAGCCCAGTGGGTTCGAATCCCAGCGATGACAGTATTCCTTAATTTTTAAGTTACGTTTGTGAATTAGTAGTAACACCTCTCCCTAACGGTATAGGAAAGTAATAATGGAATCTGCATGTCGAAGACCATTCACAATTGCTGCAAAACATGTGAAGTCTATATAGATAGATAGATAGATAGATAACACGTTTATTGAACACAAATACAAACAGAAACAAAACATTTACAATCACTTCACAGAGTACAACATAAAAGCACATAGAACATTCATTATTAATTTTATATACATTTATACAAAACACGTATTGCGAGAAAAACAAATAAATACTATAAGAACTGATAAAATTTTAACCTATGATACCTATGACGACAGTTTGAGCTGAAATGGCCCTGATTCAGCATAAATACTGTAATTATAATTTATAAATATAATTTATTTATATATATAAAATTAAAGTGTAAAATGTATAGCAAATAATGTACATAAGCTTGTATTAATCTATAGTGGCGGATCATGGCTTTAATAATCTTCTTAGAGGAAACCCGTGCCCAACAGTGGGAGACATCATGTGTTAGTGATGAAAAAATACGGATGATCACTTTCATTTAATAAAATGCAAAGGCAAAGAATATTCGTGGGTAGTGGTAATGGCTGTAAACCGATGAAGAAGCTAATATGTTTTCTGATGAACAGGCATGGTGCAAATCTGTGCGACGTGCTACAAGAACATCCCCCTGAAGTATCCCGCGTACGGCGACAACGGAGAACCCGCCGCCGCGCACCTCAATAACTCTCATACCAATAACATTAGGTTGGTCTATCACTTTTCAGTTGCTTGTTTATTTATTTCGGTCAACAAATTTTATTCAGCGTGAGTTGTTCAATGTACTGTATTGTATATTAAGGACGGTAAATAAGAAATTACTAATCTATTAGAAGCCCGAAGCCGAAGGTCTTGAGTTTCGTATTTTTTTAACCGTCTCTGATACATACAGTGTATGTCATCATATTTGCGAGGTAATAAATACAATGTTTATTTCTTGTGGGAATAAATATAGTTCACAACACAACAATTATGGTTTTTGCAAGGTTGTTTGTTTTGTCAACAGATGGCCAGCTACAAGGTTCAATTTCTTTTATTCAACATCGTAACCGTTGTTTCAGATTTAAACCGTATGACATAAAACCTAGTTCGAACCAAACGAACAAGAGAACGTCGAACGCGCTCTCGACTAGTCCACAAAATCAAATAGTCGCTGGTGAAAATGGTATTGGGGTATATAGGTAAGCGTCTCCTATTTTCCCTCTTATAAGAGATATTGCGGTTTTTTTTTTAATTAAGAAGTTGATCATGTCTTTGCGTGTGGTTGCGTCATCCAAAGTATGGCAGGGGGCAGTGGTTGTTAAGTGATGAGTCTAATTTCTGTTGCGGCATATGCCTCTGATTTTGATTTGTAAATGATGTGCATAACGGTGAAAGAAAAAAAGGTGATTAAACTTGTATGACGAAGGCGGTACACAATCCTTGAAAATCTCTGACACGCATTGGGTAAGGCTTGGTTCGACAGTATTTTTGTCGGTTAACATGTGTGATCAGACAAAATCGAGTAAATGAGTAAAACGCTCTGTAAACGATCAAATCGTCTGCGCTCGCGTTTGATATGTTTGTCAAATAATGTACATGTTTTAAGTGTTTGATAGAGAAATCTAGATTGATGGCGTGTTTGGCAAACTAAAATTCAGTTATCGCTTGTGCGTTGACCTTAATAGATTCCATGGTTCTGTGCGCAATCTTTCTTTTAACAACTTTTCGTGGGTAGGTTTTTTTCTTAATTTCAATCATTCTCTATACCAACGCATTTTTTTTTAATATATAGTGCTAGAGTTAATGCCAGGAACGCTTTACCTATTATTCTTACTCGTTGCACAAATTACGAAGAGAGGTGACTCATTATGTTAACTATAGTACGGAACTTACGACTGTATAAAGAGATGACCGAGTGTGAACGGCAGGCAAGTTTATCAAACATATTTGATGGTTTATTTGATCGTTTGCGACATTGTTTGAAGAAAACGTGAAGATTGAAGGATACATTTGACAGATTATTTGAAAGAAAGAAGAAAGAAAGAAAAGTAGTTTATTTGTTTACTTTATGTCGAAATGTGTACAATAGAATGATAACAAAAAATAAAGTAACCTTAGGATAAAACACAACAAAAGCTACCAAAATGATCTCCACTCAGCTTTTTGTATCAAGACGTCTGAAAAGACCTCGTTACGTTGGTTTTCAGTTAAGACGAATATATGACAAGGACAATGTAGCTTCGTCCAAGCAAATAAAAAAAATAAAAAATATAATAGATTTAACTAGGCGTAAATCGAAATGAAATAATCTTTGAAGCCTTGGGAGAGGCGAGAGTCTATAATGTTACTACAGAGTACTAAAAAACCGACCTCAAAAGTAATTCATCCCCCAATTTGCCACCGTTAGAGGTGGAACATCTTGTCGAAATTGAAAGGGACCCCACCCGAGGTACCTCTGTCCAAGAAAAAGAAGTTCCTTTTGAAGTCGGCTAAAAGCGAAGACGGGCAGGTGCTACGTGTGCGCCGGGCTGTTCCCGCAGCAGTCCATGGAGTGGCTGTCGACGGCGGCCGAGTACATGAACTCGCACGCCATGCACTTCCCGTGCCTGGCCGGCGCCAAGGGCGGGCGCGTGCTGGCGTGCTCGCGCTGCGTGCGCCACCTGGCGCGCCAGTGGGAGCTCATGGACGCCGAGCGCGTGCCGCTCGAGCACCGCAGGTGCGTCTCGCCGGTCACCCTCGCATCGCGATACATCTTCGGACCCACCGATTTTCTTTCTCGCTTGCACTTGCGTGTTGTGCGATCAAGTGATTATTGAAACTTTTACTTCTTCGACGAATTAGTTGTCGTTGTCAATTTAATGTCAACAACATGAATAGTAATGCACGACAAATCGCATAGTCGAACCTGCTATTATCTTTTTTTTAGAAAAAGTAAGGTGCACCCGTCGAGTATATAACCAGAAATAGAGACGAAATAAGGACCATATGTTCCTGGTAACACATTAGCGATACAGCTCTTATAAATATCAACACTCGTTTGCACTGAAACATAGACAGGCCAACACTGACCTGTGTGTACGTCTCCGTATATTCCAAAAAATATTCTGTGTTTATTGTAATAAAGATAATATCTCTAACAATGCCGTGCTGTACTGTTCGGTGATGTTGGAAAAACAGCAAAACATCTAATTACAAAACAAATGGAATCACATTTCATCGATATTAAATATTAAATATGTAATTTTGCAATTTTCGTCCATTATACCAAAGGTCAAGTTAACTGGTCGATTTGAAGTGAAACACTAGACGACACCCATTGACGACACCCGTCAATTGTTTCGAATTCGGGCTGGCCAATCGGTGCGCAGTTGTCACCGTAATGATTTGGCAGAATAGTTTTCAAACAAATTAAATGACATTTCGTCTCTATTTCTGGTTATATATTCGATGGGTGCACCACAGTCCATCGTCAAGTTCGAATTTCAAAAACCTTTTCCACGTTATGCAAAAAACGCTTTTGCGCGCAGATTTCTAAGGAAAACCTTTCCGAGCTAGTGAGATGAAAATAAATTAATCTCACCCCTCATGGAAGAAGGCATAAATGAAGCTACGTCAAACATGTATATTGCTCCATTAGATACAAAAAAATATGACACATATCTTCTCCAATGCTTGGAACTATCTGCAATATTAGTCGATAGACTTACAAAAATTGGAAATGATGTGGGTTATATTTTTCTGTATCTAATGGAGCAATAAACATGTTTGACGTAACTCCACTTGTGCCATTCTTCAGTGAGGGGTGCGTAATGACAAATAAGATATCTTTTATAATAATAAATGGAAATATGAAATTAGTAAGTTGGAAATTAAATTTGAATTATAAACAAAAACTCTTTTAACTTTTTATAAAATAATAACATCTTTTATCTATTTTTTTAATAATAATAATAATAATAATAACGCACACACTCAACATAGCCCCGCACTAGGGAAACCCTGTGTCGCGGGTGCCATGGACACACACATAGACAGCCACAAATTACACCCAAACTCACGAGAGAAATAAATGTAGGCCATACAAATATTTCTCCCGGCCCGGGAATCGAACCCAGGGACCTCTGCGTGGCAGTCCGGTATGGTAACCGTTCGGCCACGGAGGCAGTTAAATAAAAATAAAAATTTTATATCGGCTGGTAGCTTATTATGATTATTTTTATTAACATATGGTATGTTTACTAATTGTATGTAATTTGGTGAAAGGTAAAGCCAATTTTTTTCTATTTCTCAAACTACGTGTGTGAGGTCTACAGTTTGGCCGATATAAATATTTGTTTTTGTCGTACTAGATTACACATTTAGAACATGTAAATAAATGTTAGAGTCAGAATCTTATATTCAACGAAATTTACATCTTTCCTTATTTGTAATATTTACCAATATACGAATGCATCGTTTTTGTAACACAAACGATCGACAACTTTATTTCCGTGATATAGCCTAAACCCTCGCCTAAGAGGAGACCCGTGCCTAGTAGTGGGACGTATAAATGGGTTTGTGATGATGATAATTTGAAATTAGTTATGTAAAAGTCAGAAAGAAGCCTGGTACTCCTAGGTGATGGTAGTGATCAATTAACTAGGCAATGAGTGAGCTGGCAATGTCGGTTTCAGGTACAACATACCGTCACCGTCTCCGTTGAACGGCGAGCGCGTGATCCCCACGCCGCCCTCCACCACCTCCGACCGCACCGTGGCCAGCAACAGCGGTGAGTCATACTCCTATTGGTCCATTATTTAATACGTAAAATGCCACATATCAGCTGAGACGTCGCTCAATTCACGAGAAAAATTAATGGACCACTGACGATGGACAATGGCCAATGACGGATGGCTTCTGCTTAACTAAACTTTATCGATTCCATCGGCGCCTTAATTCACTTTACTTTTTTATAATATCAAGTGACGGTACGACGAGTCGTATGTTTGGTGGTAAGCTACACCCCTGTCCATAACAGTTGCAATGCCACTCACAGCTTTAAACAGCAAAGATCTTGAGAGTGTTCCTACTGCGCCCGTCACCCTGAGACATAAGTTGACAAGTCCTATGTGTCTGTGATTTCACCAGCACCCTTGCTCATATTACTGCTTGGCGGCAGAAATAGATAAGGTGGCAGTACTATCTATTTATCAATAAAGACAGTCGAGTTAAGGATGAGGTTGCGATAATTTGAGATGGGCTCATTAACCCGTGCCTTAGGATCATTTTCATCACCATGTCATTTAATGCGGAAACGCCATTGCCCCCAAAACCTTTATATCCGTAATTAACTTACACTATAATGAAATAGGAAGTGCTCGTAAACGTTCATTGGCATCGCTGACTGCGCAGTAGGCTGGTTCCAAATAGCGATGATTGTTTCGGACCTGATGAAACAATGTCTCGTTTTTATTTGCAGCCTGTACCTCAATCTATTGCTTCCTGTGTGGCCTGCACTCCGACTTCACGTTGGCGCGGATATTGTACGGTCAACCGCAAGGCAACGCGCCATACTTCCCTTGTCTACTCACGCACCAGGTATAAAACCGCTCTATTTATTTTCTGGAAATTAATTACATTTAGATGCGCTTTTTATCCATTATTATTTCTGTAGGTGACAAGTAATAGACCTTAAGTCTATATTTTGGAAAATGAATAGCATTTTATTAAGTTTTATCAACGTCTGTTATCCCGATTCTTTATTTCAGATACAATTAAATCATTCTTGTAAGAAACTGAGTCTATCAGCTATAAAAAAAAGATTTTTTATTTTATTTTTATGGGCAACTCGCGCTTGACCAAAAAATTTACCACGCCAAATTGTTTTCACAAAAAAAGACTTAATGGTTCCTGAGACACTTTCTTTGCATCTTCTATGATTTCGGATTTCCTCATACTGTCCCATTTAAAAGAAGAAACACTATATTGTGAATTATAAATGTGAACAAGTGTTTATTGACAAAGAGGAACCTGTAAAGTTTTTTTGCTCATTTAAGAGACTCTACTTTCCAAATTTGTAGTGGTTAATCAATTTAAAGTTTTCATACTTATGTAATAAAGATATTTTAAATTTGAATAGATGAATAGTAGTAGTGTAGAGCCTTTAGGTTAATTAATTTAAAGTTTATTTATGTTACTTCTAGACAGTAACGTTTCTGCACTATTTTGCGTTCACAGAGTCATCCAAACGCGGAGCAGCTGCGGGAAAATGGTTCGGCCTTGGTCTGCACCTTCTGTTACCATTCGCTGCTTAGTCAGTGGAGAAGGTGAGGCTTTCGGGCAGTGCCTTGTCAACTATGTATACTACAGAGGAATCTGGTTTTAGAACTATAATTTTTCATTACAATGGAGTCGTTATTTTGACCCCTCCTACATAAAGTATCGTATGTCGAAGTTGTTAAATTTACGGGGGACCGTTTTAAAGTTTTAAATCACTGAAAAGAGCATAACACGTGACTTTAGCATTTCTCAGTTTTATTCGTCAAATCTTGTTATTTTAAAACTCGTTCTCGAATAAATTCAGGTGATAAGCTCATTTCAGTGAATTCAGAACTTTAAAATTTTCCCCTGTAAACTTGGTAATTTCGGCATGCGACACTTTACGTAGGAGGGGTCGATTTATTGAATCGGTTAACATATTGTTTGTAGCTTGCATATTATTTTTATGAGAAAATTGTTGGATTTTGTTTGTTAAATAGTGCAGTTGATTTAGAAAAGAATGTCTAGGCTTGTGGTTTTATTTACGATTTTAAAATTAGACGACCACAGGAACGGTTGAGCAGCATCTGTATAATCGTGAATCGAGTTGAAAACATTGAGACGACTTCCTTCGATCGCTGGATTGCTCGCAGACGGCAAACGGCCGGCGAAGCGCGTATTTGTCTACGACACGCATGTGCAGGTACGAGGCGCTGGGCGCGTACCCGCCCGAGCGGCGCGCCTACAACACGCACGACTACCACTGCCACCTGTGCGGCATCAAGACCTACCGCAAGCGCGTGCGCGCGCTGCCCATCAAGGTCAGTGCCCACCTCGCCGCCGACACTCGGCGACACTGCGCTAAAGTGTTGCTAGGACGCGTTGCGACGTTCTGGTCGTTACTAATTGCGTAGTTGCCTCCATTTCTGTTTTGACAATTCGCCTCCTGCTGTTCGAATCAATTTTGTTCATCAAATCGATCATCTGTGGGGTCTATATATTGAATGAACAATGAAAAACTTTAACCTGTACCCAGCAGTGCGGTGACTAATGGACTGGTGATGATTTAAATTAAACAACTTCGGTTATTTATTGCATAAGCATGATCAACATAAAGTCTATAGTCGATAGAATATTTACCGACCGCAATCGCTAGCAACACTTCTGCACAATCAGCTGTACTTTTTACTCCATTTTCAAAAGAAAAGACAGACTATACTTGAAATTAACGGTAATAATGACAGAACTCTCCTTTTAAGAATAGCGAAACCTGTGTTAGGGAACTACCACGTATATGATTTTTTGTTATTTTCCCAAAATTCCTAATGGAAAGAATTTATAACAATGGTCACGCCATAAGTAATTGAGATGAACGTAGCCGTTACGTCTTATGTACGTCTGTTTTTAAAGCTGTTGTCTGCCGCAAGGCCAGACATATAACCGTTCCCAAATATCGGGAAAATAAAAAGAACTCACGCCGTGGTAAGGCCCTGATAACCGGTGATAAAACTATGTAACAAATTTTCAACAAGGTGTTGTAGAAGCAATAAATATGTAGAAAGGAGTGCTGCACCCCTAGTGTGGTTTATAATTTCGCAAATTTTCACATTTTTAAGTTCTTTGTCATCAATTTGTAAAATTTTGGTTGAAGTATAGAAATTTGACAAATAATGTCTGTTATCTATAAATAAAGAGGAATCCAAAAATTTGTACACTTTCCTGATGGTACACAAAAGAGTTGTTACGTTAGTGGTACTAAAATAAATGGAAAATTTAATCAGGTTGTCAGTTGGTTTTTTGTAAAGAGCTCTCAAAATCTACAGATTAAATGATTTGAATTAAAAACAATTTTTCTTTGCCTGTAATTTCTAAAAAACTTAGGGATTTTTGTTATTATGTAACGTAAAGCGGAGTGGAATCCCACGGAATGGATTTTTATGTACGTTTTTGCCCAATTTGCTAGTGGCCAATGCCATAAAAAATGTTATTGACATATGAGATGTCAATGTCATTCTTGTTACAATGTAGCTCAGTTTAAGTGTTGCTGTTTTTGGACTATTTTTAGTACCGCATTGTAGCTGGTAATTAATTTACAATACAATTGAAAAAAATGCAGGTTCAGGCTATAATGACTAGCAATTTTTTTGCTAGACATAAGAGACTGGTTACATTTTTCTGGGAATAAAGTACCAAGCTAATTCGGTACAAGTCTTTTACACTTTTCGTTACCCCAACCACAAAAGCAGTGTTTGCAGGGAACGAGCACGTTCTTTTTGTTGCAGGAGTTCCCCTTCCTGGTGCAACGACGGACTGAAAACTCGTTACTATTAGAAAACGGCGACTACGCCGTGATATGTCTAGACTGTTACGAAAGCCTGAGGTGAGTCCGGTTCGCGGCGTGCGCGTGCTCGTTGTCCGCGCCAGAGGCCTGACCGCCGGCTGTTGCAGGACGCAGGCGCAGGACTACGAGAAGCGCGGCGTGCCGGTGGACAAGCGCGAGTACAACTGGCTGCAGCAGCCGCCGCCGCCCGAGGACTCGGCCGACGTCACCATCGCGCGGCTGCCGTCGGGGGACCGCTCCGACAAGCTGGCGAGTGCCTTGTGTTCGTTTTGGGCGAGGCTTTTCACCTCACTGTAGCGAGGAAAGCGGCAGGTGAAAGGAAAACAAATCAGTTTTGATAAACAAATTCACGTCACCAATTATAAGAATAAATATACCATTGAATTTATATTACATAAATAATGTGCGACATATCGCGTAGTTGAACGCGTCATTATGTTTTTTTTTCATCGAAAGAAACAGTTGTGTGCTCTACACTCCATCGTCAAATTCGAATTTCATAAACCTTTTCCACACTGGCGTAGAAAAAACGTTTGCATGTAGATTTCTAATGAGAAAGAAAGCTTTTCCGAGCTACTGAGGTGAAAAATTAATTATAGACCACGTAGTAAAGTGACATAATACAAAAAGTAATTTCCGAGAAGTAGTCAGAGTTTAAAAAAGCTTCATTATTAGATGACTACTAACCCACATTTAAATGGCGGACGGGTAAAGAGCAGACCTATTCCCCGAGCGCTATAACTTGGGTTATAATATGAAATAGGAATTATATAGGTGTGCGTGCTCCGTCATGGGTTTCATCGTCACTTTCTATCAGAAGGGATGAGATGAAATGCGTAAAATAGTCGTAAAGACACCAGTTTCTCAAACAACGCAACTGTTCGATTGACGTCGCTTGCTACGAGGTGCTCGCTCGTCCGCAGATCCCGCAGTCGCTGGTGGTGTCGCGCGGCTCGTCCAAGCGCAACAGCCCCAAGGCGCTGGCGCTGGAGCGCCGGCCCGCCGCCAAGCCCGACAAGCCCGACGCAGGTCAGACCCTCTTACTGATCGAGCACTGATGCACGGTTCAGATGATGCTTGCGACTGTTTCCTATTATGACCAATTTTTAGTAATACTCAACATAGCCCGCACTAGGGAAACCCTGTGTCGCGGTGACAAATTACACCCAACCTCACGAGAGAAATAAATGTAGGCCTTACAAATATTTCTCCCGGCCCGGGAATCGAACCTGGCCTCGGCGTGGTAACCGTTCGGCCACAGAGGCAATCGAATATTGGTCGTGAGCTAAAATTATTTTCCAAACTTTGACAAATATGCGTCACAACACACGCAATATGTTACAAAATAATTTATAAACAATTTCTCCCAAATATAGGTAGATGGCGCTAATTCTAAATAAAATAAAATGAATTGCCAGCGTTATTAATCAAAATCTTTGCAATAAACGCCATCTAGTTGATTTGGTTCTTATCAATAGAAAGCTACTCAGCTTTGATAAATTGTCTATGTAAAACAAATACTCATTGCGACATTTGGTGTACCAACAGTTACTAAATACCTTGTATCGCTATTAGCAATCCTCTTGTTTTTTTGTCTCTGGTTTCCTGTCAATTATTATGGAACTTTTTTAGCTTGCTTAAGTCAAAAGTACAATAAATGGTTGAACAGAGTACAGTACGTATTCTAGAAGCACTGTGTTATCCTACTGGAATACTACGAACACTTTAAGTCAAAATCATATTATTTTTTGCATTATGAGATACAGAAAAGATCTAAAAGGAAAGGGTGCTGTAACTTAACTTACTACGTACTTTCTCTATTTTCATAATCAAAAAATCTCCTGCAATTTATAACATTTCGATAATAACAAATTTTCCAACTTATTTGTAAACATTTCAATTTATTTTATTATGTGACATAGATATCATAATTTATTTTTTCTTCAATTTCATGGTTGGTTTTTAATTTAGAAGTCGACCGTTGGAATCCCTTTACTTATGACTTCATTTTCTAAATTACGTACATTTATGAATGTTGTGAAGGAAAATATTGTAATGAAACCAGCATGTCGAAAACACGTAACGGAAAATGTTTAAAGTTTCCAACTCGCATTAGACCGACGTAACGAACTAGGTCTAGGGGAGAGCCGTGCCTGCTTGTGAAACATATAATGCGTTAATGACGATGTTGAATTTATCTTTAGAGTATTTTGTTGATATAAAATGTGCAAAATCGTCTGTATGTTCTAATGTCAGTTTGTAACCACCTGTGGAAATTTCTACATATCCACCGGGAGGGTGCATCATAGAATAATTAATCTAATTTTTACAATTCGTACCTTCAACAAGAATCCCTCTCGGATACAATAAATGAAATGTCAATACAAGAAATATTTTCCACATCGAACAAAAAAAGAAATTATCGAGTTCTTAGGTTTGTCGCGATTGTGACCATGGGACCTGTAAAGGGCCTGAAACGTTTATTTGTTTGAAAAAACAAGTATATGCGGCTTAAATCCGGAAAAATAGTATCATTTTCTAAAAAAACAACTGGTTTTAACTTCTCGGTAATCGTAAGCAATTTAAACAAGTTCTACTTCTTACCACTCCCAAATTGCCATATTTTTAAATCCTATGTATAGAAGTTCTAGGCGACACTAGGGCCGTATAGTGCACGTTTAAAGCCGGATCAGTGTTAAGACGTTCGGTTTATGTATGTTTTCCCATTTTTCCGTCAATTGTGGACCGATTTTAAAAATTCTTTTTTGTTTGAAGGAGTGCACTGTCGTGGTGGTCCCATTGTCACCAAGTCAGAATCTGATGAGGGGATCTCATGGAAATCGAGGAAAATCCTCAAATTTTGTAAGCATATCAGTGTACACACCAATTTCTCCCTCAATTGTGGACCGATTTTGAAAATTATATTTTTGTTTCAAAGGGTATACTCTCGAAGTGGTCCCTGATGTCGTAGATGCTGTTCTTGGTTCGTGTCGGCTATCACAAAATAAAAAAACATTTTCCGCAAATATAAGTCTACTTTTCACTTGACACAATACATATAATCAACAAATCACCGTCATAATGACAATCAGAAAAAAGTATGAAATTTACAAAAGAGTCCGTAACAGTCCCATATCGAAAAAAGCCGTTAAGGAAACTTTTGAAGTCTTTTTTTTTCTGATGAAAAAGTTATATTATACATATCACGATTGCTGGTTACTCACTCGTCGGTTACCTATCTTTTGAGCGTTGACGAAATTTCCGTTTTTCAATAAACGTCACTCAGCACTCCCCAGTTACGACCCACGATCGTTATTAACTCTTAATTAAGCGCTGGGTTCATGAGTTCCTGATCACTTGAGATGCTATCACTCAAAACACCTGATGGTTATAATATAGTTAATACAATGGAGTTGAGATGCATCTCAACCGATACACTTTTAATCGGTTCGTAGCACCATTTCTATGTTCATCTACTCATTGTTGCCTCAGCGTAGGTGAAAATGCCAACCTTATCAAACGAGTATCGTGTCTGTTCACTACATAAGCTATCCCCCAACTCGCGTAGACGTAATCCGACCCGGCAATGCACTTAAGGTGGTTTTCTAACGCTCCTAGCTGACTTGTGTTAACACTGTTAACCGGCATTATGTTTGCTTTAGTTGTATCTGGTATAGAGGTGAACTATGTTCCTATATTCCCACTTCCATCGTTATTGAATTTATATAAAGGTATTTAGTGTGTAAGTAATGTATACGTGTACATACATACTTAAACTATGTAAATTTGTAATTACATACCTTTGTAAATCCTTACTTGCAAATTATTACTCATTACAGTGAAAGTCTTGAATCAATCACTTTGGACTGAATATATAGTAAAATTGATGATATACACTGATTAGTTTACGATGTGATAATACGATTCCAAAAAATTTTCACGATGGGAAAAAAAACGAAACTTACGTTGAAATTTTACAAGAAAACCGATGTGGTCAATAGGTATTTTTTTACATATACCAATGATTTTTTTTAATAATAGGGGTTAAAGTATGAAATTGCCGATTTGTACTGAAAATCTAAATTGTTTATTTTTTAAATTTTTAACAAATTTATTTAATCAAAATAGTTGCCATTATTATCTATACATTGCTGCCATCTAATGGGAAGGTTATTAATGCCTTTGCGATAGAACTCCGACGATCTAGACTGCACAAACTGTGTGAAAGCATTTTGTACTGCCTCCTGGGAAGAAAACTTCTTGTCACGTAGATAATTGTCCAAATCACGAAAACAATGGTAGTCCGTTGGAGCAAGGTCTGGTGAATACGGAGGATGACGAATGGTTTCTAACTGCAGTTCCTGAAGGGTCAAAATGGTTTCTCGTGCTGTGTGAGGTCTCGCGTTGTCGTGAAGCAATAATGGTGAAGATCGATTCGTGAGTCGGGGCTGTTTTACTGCTAGTTTTGTCAACATGGTTCGGAGTTCGGCACAATAGACATCTGCCGTTATTGCTTGACCAGATCGGAGAAAACTATAGTGAATAACACCATGCTGAGACCACCAAACAGTTACCATTACCTTTTTATTGGTAAGTTTTGCTTTAGGACACTGTTGTGGCATTTGACCTGGGGTCAGCCATTGCATTTTTCTTTTCCGGTTATCATAAAGAATCCACTTTTCATCACATGTTACAATTCGATCCAATATTCCTTCATTTCTGTACCGGTTCAACAAGGCAACACAAGTTTCAACACGCGCTTCTTTCTGCAGATCAGTCAAATCATGAGGCACCCATTTTTCGTATTTTTTTATTTTATTGATTTGACGCAAGTGAGTCAATATTGTGGGTAAGGTAACGTTAAACCATGCCGCTAATTCCTGGGTAGTTTGACTAGGATCGGCTTCCACTATCTCTCTTAATTCATCGTTATTCACCTGTGTGGGCGGTCTTCCTCGTGGCTCGTTCTTTAAGTCGAAATTTCCATCACGAAAGCGTTTAAACCAAAATCGCACGGTGCGTTCATTAGTAGACCCCTCTCCAAACGCAGCATTGATATTGCGGGCTGTTTCTGCCGCGTTAGTTCCGCGTCGGAACTCGTATTCAAAAATCACTCGAATTTTCGCAGTATCCATCTTTCTTGTCTAAATTGAATAACAAAAACAATTGAAAGTCGATATTCAAATGTTTCAAATTTAAAAAAAAAAACACAGAAACCATTTGAAAAAAGTTTCATTCGAAAACCTCAAACCATGAACATTCTATGAAAATTCAAAGAACCTATTGCAATAAAACGGCAATTTCATACTTTAACCCCTAATATCATCTGAACTAAATAGAGCACGTATAGTATACGTTATAAATTTTTCAAATGGATTTAATTTCGTTTGTAAAAAAAATTATTCTGCTCGACCCGCACAATAGAACCGATTTAGCGAGAAAATTTTGAATTCGAACTAAGGTAGCATCAACTCTTGATAAAAATAGTACGTGGCAGCCATATTTGAATCAATAATTTTAAGTACTATTACAAACAAGACCTATAATTAAGAGCTAGAGTCTCTTAAAAATGTTACGACTGTCTTTTATACTCTCTTTTATTTTATACCGACACTAAACTTGAACTAAACCTTCCTCTAAAGTACGGAAATTAAAGGCGTAAAATCGAAACAAAGTAGTTAATAGTTTTACTTGGAATTACTTTTATTTACTTCCGCTTTATGCTTATAAATCTTGTTTTTAATCGACTTCAAAAAACGGAGGAGGTTTTCAATTCGATTGTATGTTCTTTTTTTTCTTTTTTTTTTGTATGTATGTTACGCGATAACTCCGGTATTTGTGAACCGATTTTCATGATTCTTTTTTTGTTGGAAAGGGGGTATTTCCATAGTGGTCCCATTTCATTTTGAAGAAAATCATCCACCTCGAAGGGTGGCTGTTCACGCATGAAGATTCATTTTTATAAATAGCGCCTAACTTTAATTTAGGAGCAATTACTTTTAGCAATTATTTAGTTGATTTTGCTATTT